GGGGGGGATGGAGCAGGATGGGGATGACAAATTGGATAGTTGAGGTGATTGGGATTTGGGCGCGCGCGCTACACCGGCGGCTAATGATGGACTGGGTGTGCGCACACTGTGCGGCCGCGGGGGCCGGACGGGACAGGACAGTTGTCCTCGGGCGGCGCGGGGCCGGGCCTCGGGGCCGAGCGACACTCGATAGTGATTAGAAACACCCGCCGTGCTGGCTGCTGGCGTCTCCACGCATATCGAAATATTTTTCTGATTCCACGCAGGCTCCCGATACGCAGGCGCGTAAAGCTCACAATTGTTTTGCCCCCTATACTTATTGACTAGACTACGAAAGGCCTCACTCACAGCAATAGTAAAGTGTTACAAAAGTATATCACCGCGTCGAGCTTCCAGTCCCCAAACCGGTTTACCAGGATTCGAGAACATTGCGGGGGTGACCGAGTCGCAGAAGGGCCTAACTCCGCCGTGCTCGACGCGCAGCAGCTTGACGCCAGACTGGCGGAACATGTTTGCGGCTCCCCACCTGTTGTGTGGCGTCACGCCGAGAGGAGCGCCACAAAAGATACCGAGTTCTCTTTTCAGCATCCAATTTCCTGCTCCCCCTGCTGCTGCTGCTGCTCTGCCTCTCGCCTCGGCCGCGCCGCATTCACGGCTCGGCGCGCAGCGCACCCGTGTTCCGCCCAAGCCTTTGTCGCGCACTCACTCACACACGCGCGACTCGGTGATCCCCCTGTGTGACGCTGTCTCTCTCTCTGTCTGATTGCAGGGTCCAGGAGACTGACGGCTCATTCTTTGAGAGCTACACGGCGCTCTCGTGGAAACAAGAGAACAGGCGGCTGCTCGTGGCTCGGGAGCTGCAGGAGCGACCCGGGCCGGGCCACCCCGGCGACTCGAGAGGCGGCGACGCACAACCCCACCCCCACCTGGAGAGGGGGATCGGACCACCGCTCCAGCCCGGGGTCTGGTGGCCGCCTGACCAGCGGACCCACGGCAAAGAGGTGGGGGACCAGCGGGAACCAGCGGGAACCAGCCACCAGCCATCACGGCGGCCGCCCACTTTGAACCTGATCTTTCTCTCGCTCGCTGTGCACCCCCCCCTCTCTCTCTCTCCCTCTGTCTCCCTCTCTCTCCATTGTGCGCGCAGCCCATTAGCGGTCTCACATAGCACTGTGTTGACATCCAATAACGCGCAGCAAAGCCAAACTAACTGCGCCGCGCGCTCCTGCTGCGCCATTTCAATGCGAGTAAGGGACTCGCAGCGACAGAAACAACAACAGCGAGCAGCCGGAGCAGCGGCAATTAACGAGCTGCTATTCTACAGCACGGTCTCACTGTCCGGCCTGTGTGCTTTCTCTCGCAGCACGAGGACCTGTACGTGGAGGTGCTGTACACGCTCGCCAACCGGGTGGGCGCGCTGCCCGGGTCGCTGCCGCACGGCGCTCACCAGGGCGCGCACCAGGGCACCTCCCAGGACGACCTCCACGACTACGCCATGGCGGCCTTCGGCTTCAACAGCGAGCAGCACCGCCGCCTGCTGGCCGTGGCCCGGGAGGAGAAGGTGAGCGGGGCGGGGAGGGTGGCGGGGTGGGGCACGTCCGCCGGGCAGTGTGTTCTCTAGAGCGTGTGCGTGTGTGCGCAGCCCCCCATCGTGGTGCTCAACGTGGTGGTCCTGGAGGCGGAGGGGCTGGAGGCCAAGGACGCGAACGGTGAGTGTGTGCAGCAGCCGACGCAGCGGCGGCGGTGGGGCGGGTGGGAACCAAGGAGGAGGAGGAGGTGGCGAGCTAGCTCTGGCTATAGCACTCGCGCGCCGAGAACAGCGACGCAATAATGACTAATGACGACGACGACGACGGCTTTCCGACCGATATTTTATCCTCCTGCTCCTCTCCGTCTCTTTCATTCTTCTTCTGCCGCACGCGCCACCGCCC